CACACTGGTCACGCGTCCTGGGTGCCTCCCGGGGGCGCCTCCCGCAGGACTGCATGGGGCCGCTCGTCCTGGCCGGAGCACGGAGCGTCAGCACAGCCACACGCCGAGTCCCCCACAGACGCTCCGTTCGCGGACCGGCCTCGAAGGGAGAGAGGTTCTCCAGACATTGGTCGCTGTTCCCCATGGACTCACAGCCCCTCAGGCCTAGTGGATTGCAACTTCACGCTGTCACTTTGCTGGAGGACGGGCTGACATCCCGACATTCCCAGAGCGCCTTCGGCTCCTGTCCTTCCCATCGAGGGCACAGCGCGGCTCCCACCTGCGTTAGGGCAACGACGGCAGCCGCCGCCTGTGGGTGGCGATCAAGAGGCAGAGTGTGCGGCGGGCAGGAGGGCACGCCCCGCGCTCCAGGGTGGCACCGGCCCCCCCTCCCCCGCAGGCCAGGGCGGCACCCGGACACGTGCACGTCCAAGACGCCGGCGGTGTGTCCCTGTGCTTCTGAGGCGAACGGCCCTCTGACGGCTCACCGCGTGGATCTGAACCCGAATCTGTGAGCCGCTGGCTCCTTGCAGTTAGAAGGGCCCGGTCTCTCACCCATGCGCACAAGGGGCGACCTCACGAGCCGGCCCCCAGAACCCCCAGGTCGCCCGACTGTACGCAGGCCCCAGGTGTCGGCAGGTGTCGCACGGCGCTTCCCTCGGCACCACCGAGCGGAGGACGGTCTTCCCGGGGCTGCTGTCAGGCACGGGGCCCACACACGTTCTCCGGGGTTCTGGGCCGGGCTCGAACGCTTGAATTTTGTCACTGGCAACAAATAGCCTTGGATGTTTTCTTGAAGAAGTGGCTCGTTTCATCGCTGCTTGACAAAAGTCCTGAGTGACAGCAGCGTCTGCCTTTCTGGCAAAACAGATATTCCATGAAATGAGCCAAAACAGCCACCCGGCAGCACGCGTCACGAATGTTCGTCTCATCCCACCGCATCTCGAAACCACACGCCTCCCAGGCTGGACGGTGAGTGTGGCGCCCGCGGGGGCGGGGCCGAGGGGCGCCACCAGCACCAGCACGACGGCCGCGGCAGACGCGTGAGGGCCACGCACGCACCTTCCTGGCCCCCCGGGAGGGCCCCGGGACCCGGAGGCTCCGCACACCACACCCGGGGCTAGCCAGGAACTGAAGGGGCCGGAGGGCGCACCGTGGCGGTCGGAGACTCGCCCCCGCAGTGGAGCGCCACGCGGCAGGATGCGGCAGGCTGGTCCTGAGCAGACCCCAGGGCAGCCGCACGGGGCGGAAGGCCTCGCACTCGTGCTCACGCGCAGGTGGCGCAGGCGTGACTCGCTGGTGGTGCTGAGGCCACGACCCTGGGCTTTCCGGCGGGGCCGTCCCTGGACGTGGGGGCCGTGCCGCGCGGGTGACACGGTGACTGACAGGAGCTGCTGGCCTACTCAGAACTTCTCGAAGCAGTTTCCTCATCCACGGGAAGTCACGCGGGGAGAATCACGGTCCAGTGGGCAGGAGGTGTTTCTGCTCAACAGCTGATCACAGAGTGAGGTGAAGCCGCGGCTTCTGAGGACAAAAGTCTGTAAAGCGAGGTAAAGGCGGCTCGAGGAGGCGGGCGGTCGGCCCCGGGGCGTGTACTTCTAGATGAGGGATAGAGGCTCTCGGGCCGCAGGTTGGTGTCTGCGGTCACCTGTCCCGCTGGGAGGTCCGGACCGGAAGGAGCTGAGCCGCTCGGGGGAGCCAGGTGCACACTCCGCGGCCCGTCCGGGTGCCGCCGCCCCTTCTCCACCCGAGAGCGCAGTGTCGCTGCGGCTCCTGCTCCCTTTCCTTCTCTTTTTGTCTCTTTCTCGGTCTTTTCTGGGAATATCAGTAACGGTGGGGGTTTTTGTAAATTATTTATTTATTTATTTATTTATGATAGTCACAGTGAGAGAGAGAGAGAGGCAGAGACACAGGCAGAGGGTGAAGCAGGCTCCATGCACCGGGAGCCCGACGTGGGATTCGATCCCGGGTCTCCAGGATCGCGCCCTGGGCCAAAGGCAGGCGCTAAACCACTGCGCCACCCAAGGATCCCGGGTGGGGGTTTTTGAAACAGAGTTCTTAGGGACACGCTGTTTGCCAGGCCACCGAGGGCCCGCGTCTACACCAGCGTGTTGGGTACCGGGCTGCGGCTGCTGTCACCGGGCAGGGCTCCGAGAAGGCGCTTGGTCCCCGCGGCCTCCCTGGGTGCCCCCCACTTGGGGGAGCAGGTGCAGGACGTCCTGGTCTGGCTGTGCTTTACCTTGTCTCCTCTTGAGCCCGGAGTCCCCCACCCGCGGCCGCCCTGTGGGTTGGGCCTGGAAACAGCCAGTCTCTGTGCCCTCCCGGCCGTGATGTCAGGGCCGTGATGTCAGGGTGCGCCCCTGCAGCCCCACCCACCCGCCCGCCCGCCCACCGGCTCCGATGGAGTCCTCGTGTCTCCCGGCCTCCGCAAAGGGGCCGCTGCCCACATCCCAAGGGACGGAGCTGGAGGTGCCCGGGGGGGGGGGGGGTCAGGTGGGCGATTGTCACCGGCAGTCACGGCTCCCCCTCAGCCGGCCTGGGCACCGCCTGCCTGTGTCCCCGGCCCTCCAGGGCTTGCCTCAGAGGCGCGGGCGTGCACAGCAGGTTTCGTCCTGACCCCCGTCCGCTCCGGGGCTGCGCGGGCCGGGTCCCCGGTGCTCTGCCCCCGCCCCCGGCTCCCTGGGCCTCCCTGCAGCGGCAGCGGCACTGTTCCGTCCACGGCGTGGCTGGGCCCGTTCTCAGGTCAGGGGCCCTGCGCTGTGGGAGCGAGGGCAGTGCCTCGACCAGCAGGACCCTTCTTGGCACAGGTCCTTCCTCCTACTGAGCGCCCTGTGGACACCGTGGACGGTGGCGGCCGGGTCTTGCCCAAGCACAATGGGCCAGGCCATGGGGGACCCCGGGACTGCCCTTGGGGCGCGGACCCAGAAGCCGCTACTCGCGGCTTTTCCGGCTCTCCTCTGGGGCTCATCCCAGCGCCCCTGTGAGTCATGACCGCCTGTCGGGTCCCGGCGAGGACAGGGCAGGACGGAAGCTCCGCGGTCTGCGCAGGCGCCTCTGACCCATGGATCTAGAAGTTGCCTTTTGTGTCCTGGCACAACCCTGGGCCCGTGCTGCAAACGCTGAGCTTTGGCCCTGGTAGGTCCTGGTGGTCTGTGGGTGCTGTGTGCGGCCCTAGATGAGCCCCCAGGACCAGCTGGGCCCCCGAACCGGTTTGCTGTCGCAGCATCGGGGGCGTGTCCGAGCCTGGGGAGCTCATCCCTGCCCGACTGCATCTCCGCACGACGCCTTTAGTCTGCGATGACTCGCTGTCGCCTGCGGAGAGCCCCCGCCCACCACGACGGCTTCCCGCTCGAAGCCGCCCTCATCCCCACCTCGTCCCCAGCTGGGGGCTTCTCGCTCTCAACCCGGGAGCCCGTCCCCAGCCCCGCGGGTCCCGGGCGCCCAGGCGAGGCTGCGGGTGCAAGGCGGGCAGGGCCCGGCCGGCGCTGTCGTTTCCTCACCGCCGCTGAGCCGGGGGCCCGGGGTCTGCACGCGGGGAGCAGCATCGGCCGCGGGCTCGCCGCCCTCCTGCACAGGCGTCTGTAGAGCCGCTGCCGTCCGGGCCCCCTGCACGCGCTGCTGCTACAGGCAGGACTGGGCGGGTTTGGGTTTTAAGCATATTTGCTGCTTTGGGTCTTCAGTCAAGTGAAACGCTGATTCCCTGAGGGGCTGGGGCCCTCGGCCTCTGTTCCTGGTGAAAGCGTGTGGGACCCCCTGCAGGGCGGGCAGGCGCGAACCGTTTGGTCCGCGTGCAGGCCCGACACGGGTCTGGAGGCCGCAGAGCAGAGGGACCGGGTCCTCCGCAGAGCGGCCCCGAAGGCCAGCGCCGTCCCCGCTTCCAGGTGCAGGAAAGTGAAGCAGAGAAGACGCCAGCTCACACCCAAGACCATGTGGGCCTTTGGAATGAACTTAAAAACATTTTTTTACAAGGAAGAGTCTAGACTCTAGTGACGGCCGTACGAGGTCACCAGCGGTGAGCAGATGCGCCTCACTGCTGCGGGCACACGGGACGCTGCCCCCGTCTCCCCGAAGGCAGCTCGTCCTGCGTGCGCTCTTCACCCCTCAGTCAGTCCCGTCAGGATGCCCGCTTGCGGGGGGGCTGGCGGTTCTCCGTGGACGGAGACGGGACTGCTTCCGTGGGTTCTGGAATCGGAAAGAAGCCGCCCTGGGGTCCCCAGCTGGCGGCGCCCCCAGGCTCCCCGCCCACGTTTGTGTCCCTTGCCATTGGGTGCCCAGCTGTGGGGGCCCCGTCCCCGAGGGGCCGTCAGGGCCTGCCCTGTGGCTGAGCTGGGTCAGCGGGTGGGAGGGGCGCCCGGTGGCCGGAGCCCCGAGTCCCAGACGGGCATGGGCCGGGCCACCACGATGAGCCCGCGGCCGGGGCACCGCACACCTGCTGAGCAGACGCTGTGGTGGGGCAGGCACGGGGACGGGGCTGGGCCCGCGTTGAACCCCCGCCTCCGGGCGCCTGGTGGGAGTCCCCCAGCGGCACCCCTGTGAACGCCAGAGCCAGGCCGGGCCGAGCCGTCCTCAGACAGCGTCCCAGACCCAAAGCACAGCATCACAGGTGATGCCATTGGTTTGTCCCCAGGGCCTGTTACAACTAAAATCCACGCGAGAACTTAAATCGTGGGTTTGGCCTTGTGTTCTGGAATCTTCTGTTCGTGGGTTCCTTCCCTGTGCAGCGCTGGCCGCTCCGCGTGCGTGGGAAGAACCTCCCAGCCCTCCCCCAGCCTGGAAGACGCGGGAGGCGGGGCTAGAGCCGTGGCTGACCGGCTGACCCGTGCCTCTGTCCCCGCAGCTACCCGTACAGCGAGGACTCCGGCCAGGGCAGGCAGTACATGAACACCCGGTGCCCCGCGTGGTGTGACCGCGTCCTCATGTCCCCGTCCGCCAGGGAGCTGATTCTGAAGGTGAGTGTCCGCCTTGCCCCAGGACCGGCCACACAGGCCCCGCCCGGGTGGGGCCTCGGCCCCCTCAGACCCTGCGCCCGGCCCCAGGGCCCTCGCGACACCCCAGGACTTTCTGAACCCAAAACACGCAGCACGGTCATCGGTGCTTTAAACATCAGTAGTTTATTGTGTCCTCGGGAGCCAAGCATGCTCTCGTCCACTCAGGCGCTTGTAAGCTGTAAAGGGCGATGGACCCATCTGTCCTGATTCCCCCAAGTTGTAAATCAGGAGCCCGATTCACATCCAGGCTCGAGGCAGCTTTTAGGAGGCAGCCTCCTGATTTTCCAGAATTTCCAGTGCCCACATTTTAATACAGAAAGAGTGTTTTCAAAAGAATCAATATCTGAATTAGATTTGTCCACCCCGTCCATGAGGAAGCGTCCCAGACATCCCACTCAGGGCCGCAGGCAGGTGCTCAGTGCTCAGAGCAGACATGGCAGCGGGTGGGCCTGAGCTCTGCTGCTTGAGGTTCCAGCTGCCCCCCGCCCCCCTCGGGGCCCTTCTTGGGGCAGGTGGGGTCACGGCCAGGAGAGCAGCGCCCCCCCAGGCTGCCCCGGGCCTCCAGCACCCTGACGCACGCACACCAGGTGCCCCCTGCCCTGTGAGGGCGCAGCCCGTGGTGTCCTCCCCGAGCCCAGGGGGAGCCCCCAGGGGCCTGGGCTGGAGGCAGGGGCTTCGCTGGGTCTGCAGCAAGCCTGCTGTGTCGGGGCCTCGCACTCCTGCCCGGCGCCCCGTGCGGGACCCTCACCCGTCTGACACCCTCGCACCCAGGGCCGGTTGCTGGGGGCTGCCCCGGGGCCGCTTCCCCACAGGGCCTCTCGACTGACGCCCCATGGGATGTCGGCCAGGCACGCACAGGGCCACGGCCCCGGCCGAGCCTGCCTGGCCCCCGATGTGGCGGCGCCCTCCCTGCCCGGCCTGCTGGTGGCGCTCTGGGGAGGGCCGGGCGCAGTCTCGCGGTGGCTCGCAGCATCCACCTGCCGGCCCCGAGCGCGTGCGGTGCCTCCAGGGTGCGGGGGACAGAGACACGGGTGGCGTCCACCAGGGAAAGCACCCACAGCCAGCGAAACCCACTGTGCGGCGTCTCCGCTGCGCGCCCGGGGCTGCAGGCGACTCCCTGGAAGCGGTTCCCTGTAGACCGTCTCCTGCCCGTTCACGCCGCGGAGCTGTGATGCTTCAGAGCTGGAGGGACCCCCCCCCCCCGGACGGCCCAGGCCCTCCCCGGGGGCCGCCCGGCGGCGGCGGGCGTTACAGTCGGAGCAGACGCGCCTCGCGAGCGGCTCCGCGGCCTCATCCATCATGCTACGCTCGGTTACCTCGTCATCATGTTCCGTTCTGCTTCCCCAGCCCGGAAACACGGAGGGTGGCGGGCTGGCGGCGGCGCCCGGGAGCCGCGGTGACGAGCGCGCGGCTGTAATTTGTTTATCTGTCTCGAGATTATGCGGATGGAAATCCACAATTTTCTGCTGCCTTTGTAAATTACGGCGCGTGTCTGATGAATGTCCCACCCCGCGGGGCCGCGGCGCGTGAAGGATGGGAGGGGCTCGGGAGGGGCTCGGGAGGGGCGCGCAGCCGGCGCCGAGGGTTACGTTTTTATACTTTCTGGCAGGCGACCGTGCTGGGAAGTAAATCTGACCTTAAGCTTCCTGCTGCATTAAAGACAATTCGGTTCTAACTTTACGGTCTCGGTGCTTCAGCTGCGGCTGTGAAAATCCGGCCCAGTCGGAGCACCTGCCAGGAACAGGCGGTTCCCGGTCGCCCCAGCACGCGGGCACCTGCCGGTGGCTGAGGCGCCCGGAGGAAGGGCAGCCGGTGCTCGGTGTTAATTAACACGCGGGGAGCGGGACTCGGCGTCTGCTCGCCTCCGAACACAGATCTGGGCTAAGAGAACCGCTGGGTGCACGAGACGAGGGCGCGGGGCCCCGACCCGACCCCCCTCCGGAAGCAGGAAGAGCCAGGGGCTGGGGGATGCCGGGGCTTCCAGAAGGCTCTGCCTTCCAGCCGGCCAGAGGCCTCCAGGAGGCAGGCCGGGAGGCAGGGGGTGCGGGGCTCGTGCCCTCCCCCCCAGGAAGCCCCTCCATCCCCGCCTTTCACACGGTTCTGTTTGCTTCCCCAGTCGGAGAGCGAGGAGAAGGTTGTCACCTACGACCACATCGGGCCCAACGTCTGCATGGGAGACCACAAGGTGATGTGCCCTCCCTGGGCCCCGGCGGGCGGCGGAGGGGGGGCCTGGACCGGGGTGGGGACCGCACGGAGGAGGGCTGGACCCCGGGGGTGGAGGGGGGTGGGGGGTCAGTGGGGTGAGGGGGGCTGGACTCGGAGGTGGGGGGTGGGAGGTGGAGGGGGGCAGTGGTGGGGGCTGGACCTGGATGTGGGGGTGGAGGGACTGTGGTGGGGGCGGGACGGGGGGGCAGGGCTGGTCGTGGGAGGTGGGGGGGGGGCAGGCGGGCTCCAGGGCACAGGCCGCCTGGTCTATTTTCACTTGGTTGCAGTGAAATACCAGGAGGGGGGAGGCAAACACAGAAAAGCCTAGTCCCGGTGGAACAAAGTAGAGAACTTCACTATTTATGACAAGACACAGACTCCAGCAGCGGTTTCCAGGGCCCTCTTTCCCGTGTGCCCTTGGGACCCGCGGTGGCTCCTGGTGGCCCTGCGCCTGAGCGTCCCCCACCCTGGGGCCCCCGCTGTCGCCCGGGCGGTGCTGCTCGCGTCTTACCTTCCGCCGGACCGACGGGGCGCCCGCGCTGTCCCATGTTCAGGGCACCGTCGCCGCGGGAGCGGACCCAGGAGGGCACCCGGTGCCCCGCGTCCGCAGGGCCTTGCGGGCAGCCGCACCCCCTGTACCTCCCAGCGGGAGGCCGTGTGACCGGGTCGGAGCGGGGTCGGGTTGGGGTCGGCTCGGGTCCGGGGCTCGGCCGGGCTCCTGACGCCCTTCTTCTCCCGCCGCAGCCCGTGTTCCTGGCGTTCCGCATCGCGCCCGGGGCAGGTAAACCTCACGCCCATGTGCACAAGTGTTGTGTCGTGCAGTGACGTGTGGTAAATATGACTCCTTCCTCCACCTTTTCTCAGCTTTTCCTGGTGTGTTTGTTCCTTTAACGAGTGACCAATTCCACGGCAGGGAAGCGATGGCAGCGACACCAGAGGGCCCTTCGCGAGACCTCCCTGTAGCGCGAGGAGCAGGTGACGTCCCGTCCATTGAGATACGTCCTCCTACAGCTGCATCGACAACCCGCCCGAGCGCCACCCGCTAGACGGCCGGCCCCACACTTCGCTTCAGCCTCCGGACGTTCCGGAAAAGCCTCACATACCTCACTGTCTTGTCTGTTCGTGTGACATTAAGTAGAAATATTGGGTTTTTGTAATAAGTCACCGTCCTGTTGCCAAAACTCTATAGACAGGAGAGGGAGTCTGTATCTGAGACTTCAGAGTTTCAATTTTTAATCATTGTCAGCGTGGGAAGCGCTTCTCCGGCGTGGAAGCCCCCCGGGGCCACGTCCCCTCTGCCAGCTGGAGGTGCGCCCGGGCGAGGCGGTGGGCGGTGTGGCCGCTGGAGGAGAGCCGGGGCCCGTCTCCGCCTCCGGCGGCTGCCCTGCCGTGTTATTTACTCCCCTGCCGTGTTACATGGTTTTTGAATCACACTGCAGCTGCTTTTCCATTTTTATATATATAAATATATATAAATATATACTTTTTAAAAATAATTTATAAATCTTACCAAAACTTATGCTAAATATAGTTTCCAGGATGAATGCTTGAGAGGGTCCTGTCCGCAGGTAGAGACGGAGTCTAGCAGTTGAGGCACGTGAACCTGTCCGACCGCGCGCCCCAGCGGGGCCGTCCGGGGGACGCTGACCACAGCACATCTACACTTGCAGATTCTTACTCCTATGCCTTTTTTTCTGTGTAATATTAAGAACTGAATGTGAAGTTTGTAGCTAGCTCGGGTGTACCTTTTAAGAATTTTGTAAACCGTTTCGTCTGTCTTTTGTTACTGTTCTATGGTGCCAAGTACTCTACATAAACAATAATATCACGGGAGAAACAAAACTAGCCTAGTCTGCTTCAGATAGAACCCGCTTCTAACACGGGCTGTACATAACCCTATTAAGACAAACAAAACCGTAAGTTTCCCGGGCTGCGCAGCGCAGCCAGCCTAGTAGTAGCCTCGCCGTGACGTCTCCCCTAGCACGAAGGACAGCATTAAAAGGTCATTGCAGAGCCTGTGGATGAAACACAACGAATGTTTTATTGATCTGCTTCAGAACACTACAGAATTCCTGGACTGGGTGAAGGCCGTAGACGCTCGTTTTTAGGTAAATCACTACCACTGAAGTGCTGGGGTGTCCGCTTGCCGAATCCGTTCCTGACGGTGCCATCGGGGTCTGTTCGGCGTCAGTGCTGTGGCCGCTGCTCTGTCCCCGTGCCCCGCGGCAGTCCGGCCCCACGCGCTTCTGTGGAACGGGGTATCGGCTGTGGGTCGCCGTGGAGGCCTCTAGAAATGACCGCTCCGGTTCCTAAGCAATAAAATTGATCATGGTGAAAACAGTCCTGCGTCCGCTTTGTTTCTCTGCCTTCCCTGCCCCATCGCCTTTGAGATGCTAAGCGGCGGGCGGGCGGGCGCTCCTTTGTGGGCTGCTAACGGGAGACGCGGCTCACCCGAGAGGAGATCCCGGAGGTCGTCCTCAGACGCGGCTACACCAAACCAAGCCTCAGTTAAGTGCAGGAAAATAATCTTTTGGATTTTTTTTTTTTTTACCGTACCGGTAACTAACGGGAATTACCCCGCAGCATTTAAAAACGAGATTATAAAAATTCTCTGCTGTCCTCGAGACTTTAAAACTGGAAATTCCTTTGCTCTCAACGTGAGCGGGGAAAGCAGTTCACTCAGACAGAAAACAGGTTTCCATGTTGCTGCATTAAAAAGACCGGCCAGTGGTTCAAAAGAAACGTCTGTTTTTTAAAATTGATGGTGCAGCCACGAGGCATAGAACCAATCACCAGCCTTTTCCGTTTCTCTAACATTTTCAAAAATGCCTTCCAGGAGAAACCTTGCAGTTTCTGTAAGCTCCACACTTGTGCTCAGTAGGATGCGACCACGTGGAGCGCCGGCCCGAGGTCTTCCCCCAGCCGGACCTGCGGCGGGGCCTGCCGGTGAGCTCCCTGCGCCCGGTGCGGGGTCCCTGCGTCCCGACCGCGGTCCCAGCGCCCCCACCGCGGCCCCGCGCCCCGACTGGAGTCCCTGCGCCCCGACCGCGGCCCCTGCGCCCCGACCGGGATTCCCTGGGCCCCCACCGCGCTCCCTGCACCCCGACCGCGCTCCCTGCACCCGGACCGCGCTCCCTGCGCCCCCACCGCGCTCCCTGCACCCGGACCGCGCTCCCTGCACCCGGACCGCGTTCCCTGCACCCCGACCGCGCTCCCTGCACCCGGACCGCGTTCCCTGCACCCCGACCGCGCTCCCTGCACCCCGACCGCGCTCCCTGCGTCCCCACCGCGCTCCCTGCACCCGGACCGCGTTCCCTGCACCCCGACCGCGCTCCCTGCACCCCGACCGCGCTCCCTGCGTCCCCACCGCGCTCCCTGCGCCAGGACCGCGCTCCCTGCGCCCCCACCGCGCTCCCTGCACCCCCACCGCGCTCCCTGCGCCCCGACCGCGTTCCCTGCACCCGGACCGAGCTCCCTGCACCCCGACCGCGCTCCCTGCACCCCGACCGCGCTCCCTGCGCCCCGACCGCGCTCCCTGCGCCCCGACCGCGTTCCCTGCACCCGGACCGCGCTCCCTGCACCCGGACCGCGCTCCCTGCGCCCCCACCGCGCTCCCTGCACCCGGACCGCGCTCCCTGCACCCCGACCGCGCTCCCTGCACCCGGACCGCGCTCCCTGCACCCCGACCGCGTTCCCTGCACCCCGATCGCGCTCCCTGCACCCCGACCGCGCTCCCTGCACCCGGACCGCGCTCCCTGCACCCCGACCGCGCTCCCTGCACCCGGAGCGCGTTCCCTGCACCCCGACCGCGCTCCCTGCACCCCGACCGCGCTCCCTGCGCCCCGACCGCGCTCCCTGCACCCGGACCGCGTTCCCTGCGCCCCCACCGCGCTCCCTGCGCCCCCACCGCGTTCCCTGCCCCCCGACCGCGCTCCCTGCACCCCGACCGCGCTCCCTGCGCCCCGACCCGGGTCCCGTCCCCCCGCGGAGCCGTCCGGGCCTCACCGAGGAGGAGGGAGTGCGAGCCGACCCTCGGGGGGCGCGCGGTTCCTTCGGGTTTGCCTTCGGCGCCCGGACGAGTCCAACGACCCCGTCTGGCGAGGAGGCTGCGGCCGCCTGTGCCGCGGGCGCTGCAGGTCCGGGAGCTGCGGGCCGCGGGCGGAGCGGAGCCGCAGCCTGGGACTCGCCCGGCGCCCGCCCCGGGTCCCGGCTCGCGGCGCGGTGGTGCTCACCTGCGCAGGCCCCCGCCGCGGAGCCGGCCCGCAGCCCGGGGAGGGGCCGCCGCTGCCCACCTGCCCACCTGCCCACCTGCCGCGCCGCCGCGTCTCCGTCCGTCCCCGTCCCGCTGCGCTGGGCGCTCGCTGGCGTCGCGGCTCCTGCGGCTCCCGGGCGGCCGAGGGGTCTGGGTCTCGGGTCGGACCCGCCGTCCCCTCGCTCCTGGAGCCGCGGCCGCCGCCGCCGGGGCTGCGGACCCGCGGGGCCCGGGACTGGGGGGGGGGACGGGGTCCGCGAAGGAAACACACGCGGTGCAGCCTCGGAGCCGCGGCTCCCGGGACGTGTTAAATAATTTATTGATCGTACAAAGTGGCTCCGCCCGAGCCCGCGCCGGCCGCCTTATAACTTATCCTGTAAAAATATATCTACACCCGCGGCGGCGGGGGGCGCCGGGCCGACCCCGACCCCGCCCCGGCCCGGCCCGGCCCCGGCCCCGACCCCGTCCCCGCGCGGGGCTCGGCCGCGCCGGGTCACAAGGCGTCCCCCGCGCCGCCGCACGGGCTGACCAGCGCCAAGTTCGCGGGTTTGTGTTTCTTGAGCAGCCGCGTGATCTTCTCGTCGTCCGAGTTGGGGTCCAGGGGCCGGTTGTACTCGTCGTCGTCCTCCGCGTCCGAGCCGCCCACCTTCAGCTTCTCGGCGTCCGAGTCCTGCTTCTTCTTGGCCGACGCCATCTCCGCCGCGTGCCGCTTGCGCCACTTGGTCCGGCGGTTCTGGAACCACACCTGGGGGGGGAGGGGGGGCCGGGCGGTCAGCGGTCAGCGGCCAGGGCCGGGCGGGGAGGGCAGGGCAGGGCAGGGCAGGGCAGGGCCGGGCGGGGAGGGGAGGGGAGGGGAGGGGAGGGGAGGGGAGGGGAGGGGAGGGCGCGCACCGACCCCGCCGCCTCCAGGACGCGCAGGGAGCTTGAGCCCGCAGCACGCGCAGGGACCCCGCCGCCTCCAGGACGCGCAGGGACCCCGCCGCCCGCCCGGTTCGCCCGGTTCGCCCGACGCGGGCCGCCGCCCACCTTGACCTGGCTCTCCGTCATGCCCAGCGAGTAGGCGAGGCGCGCGCGCTCGGGGCCCGCCAGGTACTTGGTCTGCTCGAAGGTCTTCTCCAGCGCGAAGATCTGCTGGCCCGAGAAGGTGGGCCGCGAGTGCTTCTTCTTGCCGTCCTTGTCCAGGACGCCGCCGGCCTGGGCTGCGCGGGTGCGGGTGAGCGCGGGTGAGCGCGGGTGAGCGCGGGTGAGCGCGGGTGAGCGCGGCCTCCCGCCCCGGCCCGCCCCGGCCCTCCCCCGCCCGCCCCGCGCCCCCCGCGCGCGCCGCCTACCCGGGCCGGCCAGCCGCGGGTCCCTCCAGGGCGAGCCCTGCACCACGCCGGGCCAGAAGATGGGCGCGCGCCCGGGCAGCTCGGCCAGCGGCTTGGGGTAGCCGCGCGCCACGGCCGCGGGCCCGAAGTACACGCCGGCCGACGAGGCGAGCCCGTTGAGGCGGGGCAGGCCGCCCAGGAGCCCGCCGCCCGCCGCGCCCACCGGCCGCCCCAGGATGTCGCTGATGCCGTGCGGGGTGCCGAGGGGCAGCTGCGCGCCCAGCCCGCCGAGCGCGGGCGCCTTGAAGCCGGCGGGGCCGAGCTGCGCGTAGGGGAGCAGCGCGCTCTTCATCTCGGCCAAGTCGTGCAGCGCGGCCAGCGGGGCGCTGCTCAGCACGAACGCGCCCGGGCGGTTAGCGTCCATGGGCGCCGCCGCCGCCGGCCCGGGAGCGCATCCGGGCCCCGCCGCCGCCGCCGCCGCCCCGCGCCGCGCCGCGCCGCGCCCGCCGGCCCGGGAGGTTTGCGCGCGGCCCGGGCGCTCGGGGTGCGGGCGCCGTCGGCCCGGGGAGGCGCGAGGCTGGGCGGCGGCTGGGCGCGGGGCGGGGCGCGGGGCGCGGGGCGCGGGGCGCGGGGCGCGGGGCGCGGGCAGGGGCAGCGGCGGCGGCGGCGGCGGCGGCGGCGGCGGCGGCGGCTCCGGCGGGTCCGAGCGGCGGGGCGCGGGCCGGGCGCGCTGATAACCGCGGGGGCCCCCGCGCGGCGCGCGCGCTGATTGGCTGCGGACGCCCGCGGCCCGGCCATTGGCCAGCGCCCGCCCGCCCGCCCGCGCGCCCCCGCGCCCCCGCGCCCCCGCGCCCCCGCGCCCCCGCCGCCCGCACTCCATGAAGGGCCCATTAGCGCGGCAGGTGCCTCCCGGCCGTAAATTCGGGCCCTGATTTATCTCCCGCGGGACGAAATAAATCCCGCCGGATGGGACTTTCGTCAGGCAAAGGTTTTAAGGGGGAATCCGGGAAAAATACGACGGCACGTGTCATCGCCCGCAGGAACGCGGATTCCGAGGCCCCGGCCCCGAGCCCGGGAGCGGCGGGCGCAGGCGGGGCCCGCGGGGCCGTCGTGGCGCGGGCGGGGCGAGGCCGGGCCGCGGCGCCCACGCGTTCCACGCCCCGACGGCCGACGGACCCCCGCGCGCAGGCCACGGCCCCGGGGCCCCGCCCGCCCGAGCGCCCGAGCGCCCGAGCTCCCTGCCCCCGCCGGGTCCGGCCGCCCCCCCCCCCGCCCCCGCGAGGCAGCACACGGGGGCGGCGGGCTCTGCGCTCGGGGCTGTGCGCCGCGGACCCGGGGCCTCCCCCGGGCCTGCTGCGGGGCGCCCGCAACGACTCCGGGGGGCGCGGCCCTCGGCCACCGGCCCCGCACCGCGCGGGGACCCAGCGCGCGCTCCCGGGGCGCTCCGCGGCGGAGCTTTCGTTGTGCGGCGTAGACGGCGCCGCGAGGTCCCCGCGGCAGACCGGAGCCCCGGGCCGGCGGCCGCACGCTCACTCCCCGCTCCCCTCCGGGTGCGCAGCTTCCCCCGCGCCCGCCGCGCCCTCGGGGCTCCCGCCGGCACCTGCCCCGCTTCCCTGCACCGCGCGCCCGTGCGCCCCGGGAGCCGGCGGGGGACGCTCTCCCGCAGGACCCGGGCCCGGCGGAGCGGAGCCGAGCGGGCGGGGCGCGTCCCTGGGGCCCCCCCTTCCCCGGGCGGGCGGGGCGCGGGGGAAGCTGCGCAGGACGTGGGGCCCCAGCCGCCCGCCCGCCCCGCGCCCCCGGGTCTGTGACGGGCCCCGGCCCCCCTGGGCTCCCGCCCGGACGCCCGGGGTCGCGATGGGGCCGCGCGTCTCCCGGGAGCCAGTGGGCGCGGGGAGGGGGGAGGCGTGGGCGTCCGGCTCTCCCGGCCCCCTCCCCCTCGCTCCCCTCCCCGGCTCCCTCCCCGGCCCCCTCCGCTCCCCTCCCCTCCCCGGGGTCCCCCACCGGGGCTCCCCCCGCGCATCCCCCTCCCTCTCCCCAGGCCCCCTCTCCCCCCACGCCCCCCCCAACCCCGCCCCCTCGGGGCAGGTCCCAGCGGGCGGATCCCGCCGGCGGAGCCGAGGTCGGAGGATGCCACCTCCCGGCCTGGAAGGAAACGTCCTGCGGCGGCGGAGGCGGCGGCTTCTGCGCGCAAACCTGCGCGTCGTCGGGGACGCGGAGCGCGCTGGGCCCCGAGCTGCGAGCATCCGGCGCCCGGGAGCCGCGGGGGGCGCCCAAGGACCGCTGGGCCGCGGGGCCCGAACCCCGAGCGTCGGCAAGTGCCGCGGGAGGGGGCGGCGGGGGGCGGGCGGGGGGGCACGGGGCCCGGCGGCGTCCAGCCCTCGCCCCTCCCCGGAGGAGGCGCCGCGGCCCGTCCAGGGATCGCGCCCGCGGGCCCCGGAGCCACAGCAGGTCGGGGACACGGAGGGGAGGGGAGCGCGGCGGGGACCGGGGCCGGCGGGGGCGGGCGGGGCACAGGGGCTGGAGCAAGGCCCACCCCCGCGTGGCGTCACCCCCGAGGCCACACGCAGGGGCCCCTGCGCTCCCCGCCCCTCCGCGGCCCCCTGGCCCCGGGCGGAGCTGAGCACCGCCCTCCCACCGCACCCCTGCTGCCGCGGGCGAGTGACCAGGGCCCGTCCTGGAGGCCCTGAGGTGGGCGGGGCAGGGGCGAGGAGGGGGCTCGGGGCTCCCTCCCCCACCCCTCCGCCCACCTGCCCCGCCCCGCCCCGCCCCGCCCCGCCCCTTCGCCCCCTGCCCTGCCGTGCAGCCCCCGGAACAGCCAAGCATCTTCGGGATGGGATGCGCGTCCGGAGCGTGTCAGCACGTCTGTCCGCCCAGCCCGGCGGGGCCGCTCGGTGCCCAGGTGCTCCGGGGGCTGCCGAGTGCCGCGGGGTGGGAGCCCCGTGTCTGGGCCGCGGAGGGGCTCTGTGCTCCCCCAGGTACGCACCACCCAGGGCCCCAGGCGCCTGAGCCAAGGGCATCTTGGGGGGCGGCAGGAAGAGGCCGGCAAGGCCCTGGGAGGCGGGAGCCTCGGTGGTGGGGGGCCCGTTGCAGGAGGCCCGGAGGTGTGCTCAGGAAGGGGGCGCTGGGCGCAGGCAGGGGTGCTGGGAAGCCCGGCCGCTCCTCCCTGGCCGGCAGGGAAGGGGTGGCGCTCCTGGGGCAGAGCCTGAAGCTCCCCCGAAGCCCAGGGTCCACGGCCTCCCACCACACCCCTGCTGGCGCCCCAGCTCCCCCTTTGTTTGTACTGGGCTGACCCAAGGGCTCCCCCCTCCTGCCCCGGCTTCACCTCCCTCCTCCGCAGGTGCAGCCCCCCATTGGAGTCAGGGCCTGCTGCAGGGTCTGCAGGCTCGCGGGCTCCCGGGCTGTGCCGTTTGAGCTGGCCGCACGTTCTCCGCCCTGGGGACACAGGTCCACAGCCCACCGGTGCTTGTGGGGTGCCCACGTGTCCCCTGCTGACACACAGCCACTCACACTCCCTCCCTCCACCTCGTGAAAGCCTCTCCGGAGGGCAGCACCCCCTCGGCCAGCTGCCCCGGCCCACGCTCGGCTCCCTGATCTCTGCCGCCGGGGTGGCCGCCGGGGTGGCCGCTGCAGGTGCCTGTCTTCCTCCTCTGCTTCCCGGGACCCACGCTCTCCACAAGACACCCCATGGGCACCAACCTGCCAGGCACACGGCCATAAGCACTTGAGCCACAGACAGACCCCGAAGAGGCAGCTCGGAACCTGGGCTCCCGGGGGTGGGGGGACCCCGTGGGAACCTGAGCCCTGGCAGCACCTTGCCGTCTGTCCCACTTCTGAGAGGCTCCAAGATCTGTGGCCGCCCGTCCCCTGCAGCCACATCCAAGGAGGCAGCCCCAGCCCGGCAGGCGGGACCCGAGCCCCCAGGGATGGTCTGTGCTGGGAGTCACCCCCCCAGGGCCCTGTGGATGGGGGTCCGGGCGAGGGGAGCCCTGCAGGGCCGCCTGGCTCAGAGTCGCAGGAGGGCCCCCCAGGAGGGCGGCCACACAGCAGGACAGCAGAGGCCAGTCCTCGGGGATCGCATCACACAGGACGGCTCGGAAGCCATCCTCTGGGGTCCCAAGAACCGTGTCTCCTTCAGGAAAGGACAAAGGGAAGTGGCCGTAAATCACGGCTCAGACTCATTCCCCCGGGGCTGCGCGGGCCCCAGATGTGCAATCGCGGGTAATGAGCTCTCTCCCGGGGGCTGCTGGGGGGTCCTGACTGCGTGCCAAACGCGCTAATTGAGCACCGAGTAAAAGATTTGTGTTAGGGCCTCGCTCCGCGGCCGCCGTCGCCGTGCTCCCAGGATGGGACGGGACCGGCCTGGCCTGGCGGAGGCTTCCGGAAGGGCTCTTGGCCGCACTCCAGGCCGGGTCCCAGCCCCCCTCCGCGCGGGCATCGTGGCGGGCGAGGGTCTGGCTGTGCCAGGACGAGGGCCGGGCCCCTTCCACGGGCTGCTCGGGGCCAGCAGGCCTCGGCCACGGGGAGGAGCTGCCCCTGCCCCCCTGGGCTCTGACCTGGGCTGCCTTGTCCACCCCATCCTGGGCTCTTACGAGGTGCCTGTCGCCCGTCATGGGAGGTGGATAGTCCCCTCGTGGATTACAGGGTGGCCGGGGCCCTCCTGCTAAGGGCTGGCCCACCGACACGCCTGGGGGCTGGGGGCTGCTTCCCAGAACCGGGCCTGGAGACAGCTGGAGGCCTGGGGCTGGGGAGGGGGGTCAGGAGCTCAGGGTCCAGCCCAGGGAGTCGGAAGGAAGGTCTGTGACGCGTGACGCGTCCTAAGGCCTGGGGGTGGCCTCAGGCCAGAGTGCTGGGCCCCGTCGCGCTCTCCCAGCAAGGGGCACAGGGGCCTGGGTCTGAGAATGGCCTGGTGTTGGGGGCCCCTCCCCGGCCCTCGGGGTCTCTGGAGCCCACCCTGCAGCCCGTGCCGGGCACCCTGGTATGCCCATTGCTGCGGGAGACTCTGAGACGTCCCGGGGGGAGCAGGCAGGGGTCTGGGGACTCTCAGCTGCCCGGACCCGGGCAGGAGGCATGACATGAAGACGTCACCAGAGGAGGCTTGGCCCCCCCCTCCCACGCACACCAGCTGCCTCCTCGCCCCACGGAGAGCGTGGTGCCCCTGGGTGGCAGGTCCCCGCCAGGCTCTGCGTTGACACGCCTGCCCTCCACGGCGGGCCTGGCGGACCCTGGGGCAGGTGCTGCCCACGGTGGTCCTTGGGAACGGGTGAGGCCAGCAGAACCCAGACGGGAGGGCCGCGCGCGGGGCAGGGAGGGGCGGGCAGGTCCCGCTGTGCAGGGCGGACGGTGCCGTCGGGGGACACAGGCAGCCCGGGCGCCCGTGCCAGGAGGCCACATGGGGAGGAGGTGCTGGGGTGGGGCCTCCCCGAGGGGCAGGACGGGAGCACCAGCCTCCTGGGCTGGACGGGGACACGGCCAGGGACATAGCTGCCCGTCCGGGGCTCCACGCAGCATCCCCGACCTCCCGTGAAATGACAGTGGGCCGAGCCCGCCCTCCAGGGAGACCGCCCGGGGCGTCGCCAGCGTGAGCAGCTGGGGCCTTGGGCCCAGCGGAGGGGCCTTGGTGGCGGTGTCACCTGCCGTCGCAGCAGCCACCCCTGTGGCCCCACGTCCTCTCTGCCCGCGGCCCCCGAGGTTCTTTCTGCTTTTCATCCCTGCGCCTCCTCCTCCTCCCCTGGGTGCGGGGAGGACGGGCTGGACCATCTCCCAGAAAGACCCGGAGGTGCAGGTGCAGGGCCAGCGTGTCCCTGCCCGCCGTGTGGTTTGCGCGGGACACACGGACACGGGAGTCAGACCTGTGGGGTTTGCGGCCTGGGCCTGGGCGCTGCAGCAAAGCGAACCCCCGGGTGGCCGTGAACTCCCGGTCACCCTCCCGCATGGGGCGCGAGGAATGGGAGTGGGATAAACGGGGACTTCCGGCTTCCGGGGAACAGAGATGGGCTCGCGGCAGGTGACGCGCCCGCTCAGGAGGGAGGATGCCCGCGGGGCCGGGCGGGGGGGGGGCCCACGTGGCGCCACCTGGGAAACTGCGCGCCTCATTTCATGAAACAAATTGTCGTTTCATCTTTAAGCCCATGAACGAGGAGCAGAGAAGGGGCCCCGGTCCCATCTGCCCCCGGGGACCGAGCGGAGGATCAGGTCCTTCACGATCCCGGGAGAGTAACACGACCCACAAAGCACCAAAGGGCTCCTCGGGCGGCGCGCGTTGCCCGGGGCCACGTCTCCTGCCTCAGTCTGCACCTCAGGGAACCGCCCCGAGGTTTGGGGCAGTGGGTGCTCGAGGACAGAAGGCGCAGCCGCCTTCCTGACGTGGGTGCGCTCGCGGGGAGTGTCCTGGCCGCGTCCTGACAAGCTCCCACGCGCTGGCGCCACCCCCCCGCACCCGGAGCGTCCCCCCCCACGAGGCTCGGCCGCCCCCAGCGTCCTTCACTCCCTAGCGGCCTCCTGGTGCGGTGCCCTCAACACCCTCCGAGTCCGACCGAGGCCGGGGGGCCGTGCTCCTGGGGACACGGGGGGGGGGCACCCTCTGCGAGGGCCGCCGTTATTCTCGCAATTCCAGGGGGGACGCCCCAAGGGGGATGAGGCCTGTGAGCGGGGCCGGGGGTCAGCGTTGGGCAGCGCCCGTGGTCGGCCGGCGCGGAGGGTACTCGGCCCTGCCCCGTGGGTGAGAAGGGCTGGGGCAGGGTCCCCGGAGCCCGCCCGGGAGGGGGCCTCTGGGGGGAGGCGGGCAGGCCGGGCGCTGTGCTCCCCTCGGAGGCCGAGGCCGGCGGGTCACGGTCAGCGCCCCCGACGGTGCAGCCGCCCCGGCTGCCTGGGCAAGCGCATGTGGTCAGCGAGCCGCGGACGGGGGTCACTGCCACGAGCTGGAGCCAGGAGACCCCCGGGTCACGCCTTCGCCTGGATCCACTGTCCCCAGCCCGAGGGCAGCATGGGGCGCGTCCCGGCCCCAGCCCAGGGAGCGGCCCCAGCGTGGCCCCACGGGGCGCCCCACCACCCGGACACGCGCCCCTGCCTGGCACAGCCCGAGGGGCCTTGCGCACCCAGGGCCCCCAGCTGGGCCACATCCCTGTCGCCTGGCGACATTGAGAGCCGCCCTCGCTGCCCCACGGACTGCGCCAAGGTGTGGGGATCACAGCCCCATCCCCGGAGACGGGAGCTCCCCTCCGCCCGCGTTCCCGGGGCGCCCTCGTGGCACGTTGGGGTCAGCGAGGGACCCCGGGCTCTCCAGCGGGAGCAGGGCCCCCGGGCCCCTGAGCCCGTGGTTTGGCAGCGGAGCTCCAGGCCCCTGCCCCGGGCTCGGGGAGGAGGGCAGGTGGGGGCGCCCGGAGCCAGGGAAGGAGCTGGTGGCACCCGGTCCTGCAGCCCGGAGCGCTCGGGGCCAGGACGGGGATCCGCAGCCCCTCTTGCCCCCACCCTGGCTGGGACCTGGCCTGGGGGGCCCCACGTGGGCTTGCGGGACCTTCAGGGCCTGTCGCCCAGCGTCCCGGGCACACGTGGCTGCGTGGGCCGCGCCGGGGCTGGGGGGCCGGTGAACGCTGTGCCGCCGTGCGAGCGTCCCCAGCCACCCGCCGTGTCCCCAGCCCGCAGAACGGGGCCAGCGCGGGGGGCGCCCCACTCCGGGGCCCCAGCTAGGGCAGCCGCCTCGGCCTGATTAGCCGACACCATCTCCTGCCTCTTGTCACAAAGAATTAAATTCTGTAATAAGAAAAGCTCGCAGCGCCCCTGTCATTTGGCCCATCAGCGCCTTCCCGGCCCTCAGCCAAGCGCCGGGGCATCCGTCTCGTCATCTCCCTCCGGCCTCAATGAATCGTGATAAAAATGTCCAACAATTAGATTACGCGGCCAGGAGCGCGGCGTGATTGAGTGGCGAGGCAGGGCGCGTCCCCTGAATCACCCTGACGCCGCCGGTAAATCCCGCCCCCACCTGTGCCCGGGCAGCAGGTCTTGGCAGCACCGGGCGGGAAACTGAGGCCCGGCCTGCAGGACGGGAGCGGCGGGAGGGCCGAGGGAGGGAGGCGGAGCCCGCAGTCCCCGGGGCCCAGACCCCAGGAGGCAGGTCAGAGGTGCTCCCAGGGCCTGCCCCTCCCCACAGGCTGCTTCACCGGGGAGGCCGCCCAGGTGGGGGTGGGGGCAGGGAGTGGGGGGCAGGGGCGGGGTGCGGGGTGCCAGGGCGGGGTGCAGGTGTGGGTGGCTGGGTGTGGGGCGGGGTGGGGTGGGCCTGCCCGGCCCCGAGCCGCGCCGCTGGCTTCCTCCCGTTCAAGGGTGAGGACGTGTTGAAATTGATTTCTGTTGGAAATGGGATAATTAAACTGGTTGTTTCTGTCTCCATCATCGTCATAATAAAACGAGAGGACAGCGGGGGTGCGCACGGCGCGGAGTAACATTGTCCGTCCTAACGCGAGGGAGCGTTAATTGAATACGAATGGCCTTCCCTGAAGTCGCTCGGTTATATTTCAGAGATATGGGATAATGATGCCACTTCATCATTTTTACAAGATATAAAATTACTGGCTCCTCTGGGAAGATCATTAAGGAAAACAATTGTTCACAGCAATTGAAGATAGAGTTTTAATTATTTGATATAGAAATTAAACTATTGGAGACCGGGGCTGGATGGCGGGACTTAATAGAAATTTATACACAAGCACCTGTGAGCGCTTCAGCTTTATTAACGCGCCTGGTTTCTAATCTGGATCCACCGGGGCGGCCGCCTTCAGCCGACGCCGAACTCACTGGAGGAGGGCCCGGCGCCCGCCCCACCCGCACTCGCTCCCCGGGCGCACCTGCGGCGGCGGCGACCCAGGGCGTGGCTTTTGAGTACATTTTTCTCCTTTTTTAATTCTCCAATTTTCCTACAGTAAAATATATTGTCTAAAAAATAGTCCTTGGTGTAAAAATGCGGAAAAAGTCACGGGGCGCCTGGGTGGCTCGGTGGGTTGAGCGTGGGACTCGGTTTCGGCTCAGGTTGTTATCTTGGGGTTGTGAGATCGAGCCCCGCGGTGGCCCCAGGCTCGGCGGGGACTTCTGCGGGGGACTCTCTCCCTCTGCCCCCACCCCCGCCTCTGTAAAATACATAAATACGTCTTTTTTTAAAAAAATGGAAATCATTATTTTCAAGATATGAATTAAAACAGACGAGGGACGCCTGGGGGGCTCAGCGGCTGAGCACCTGCCTCCGGCCTAGGGCGTGACCCCGGGGTCCCGGGATCGAGTCCCGCGTCGGCTCCCTGCGTGGAGCCTGCTGCTCCCTCTGCCTGTGTCTCTGCCGCTCTCTCTCTCTGTGTCTCTCATGAAATAAAATCTTCAAAAAAAATTAAAACAGATGTTAACTCTTAAAACGGTGACTGCCAAGCCAGCCCGGGGCATGCTGGTGCTTCCAGTCGTTGCAAGGGAGGGGCCCGGCCGGCCTGGGCCTGGACACGCGGCCTGGGAGCGGGGCGAGGTCAGGCCCTTCCGGGCCCCGAGGCCGGGGCTGCCCTTCCCCTAGGACAGGACGGGCTCCCGAGTGAGGGGCTCAGGGCCGCCCGGCCCCCTGCAGCCCCAGGGCCCCGGGCACGGGCATCGCGGGGATCCCGTCACCTCCCTCCGAGGGCGGCCCACCGTTCCAATTACATTCCGTCTACGATCACCAATAAATTCCAAGCGATCCTTTCTCTCCTTACAGTTTTTAGGGTTGCATAAATTCCACCCATGCAATTTTTTCATGCGTGAGTATATTACGGGATGCCACTTCTGTTACAGGAGCTAATTGATAATGTGATTTGTCATGTTGCTGGGGCATAACTCAGAAAGTTATTTCAAAGCCTCCGATACGCGGACGAGCACTCACGTTTCATATTTCTCACACGCGTAGACACAGCGTAAGGTAAAAAATGTGAGGCTGCACAGATGAAATATCTCCAGAGGCTTTTATTCTTGTTGTTTGGGTGGGTGCCAACATCTTTCTAGAAGGAAGCTCATATATCCACGGCTGCTCTGATTTGAATTTATTCCTTCATCATTAGTTAGCTCTTTTATTTTTTTTTAACTGGAAGAAGTATGTGTATGTTTGACAAAAGGGAAAAAATTAAACAAAAAGAAGGGAATCACCGCCTTCCGGTGTTATCAGACATGAGCTGTTTTTAAAGTTCTTATGTGGAACTGACCGTAGATTTGCAAGGAGTCGCGGAGAGAGTCGGGGCGGCGCGGCCCTCGCGCAGCTTCCCAGCGGGGCGCCTGGACCTGGAGCCCGACCGCCGCCGAGCTCCTTTCCGCCCGGTGCCCAGAGCGCGTGCACCTGTGCACAGACCCCTGCCCGCCCGGGCCCGCACCCCCGCACCCCCCCTGCACCCCCGCGCCCCCCGCGCCCCCCGCGCCGCCGCCGTGTTCTCCCCCCCGTGCTCTCGTCATCCTGAGAATGCGTCGGACGCGACCCATGACGCGACCCATGTGGTGCGTGACCCGGCTGGTAGCGCCCCGGAGGCCGTCAGGGGTCGGCAGCTCGCTGCCTGTCCTTGGGGATCCCGCGGGCACACGCGCCAGGCGCCGCTCGGCCACTCCTGGGGAAGGACACTGGCCTGTGTCTAGTGCTCACGCTGGTGGGACGGACCACGCGCCGACGGAGCCCGGAGCCCCGCTTCTCTGGGTGCGGCCTGGGGCGCGGGGCCGGGCGCGAGCTGGGCACACGCCGAGGTCAGAGGACGCAGCCCAACGGCCGCCCAGAAGCTGCCTCGTCTCCGCCCCGTGGGTGACGTCCTGGCCCGGGCCGCCTCTTCCCCGCAGTGGGGTCAGCAGGTCGATGGGACGCTCCCGCCCTCCGGTGTCACGCTCTGTTCCTCACCATGGGGCTGAGCCCCCGCACCGCCTAGGAGGCCCCCGTGCGGCCTGTCTGGCCCCGGGCAGGGGCTGAGCGTGGGCTTGCCACCCGCGTCCAGGACACGAGGCCAGGACACACGCGTCCACGCTCCTCACCGCGCCAGAGGGGGGAACCCAGGCGAGCAGGTCTCCCGACCACTTAGCTCCAGGCCTCCCAGCCCAGAGCGACCGCGGTGCCTTGGCTGCCCCCGGCTCCCAGCTGTCCCCAGAGCTGGTGCTCGGAGGCCACGCGTGTCCAGGTGAGGCAGGCAGAGGGCTGCGATCTGTGCTGGGGCCTGGAAGGGGCAGTGCCAGTCGCCCCCGGGCCGGGCTCCCCGTCCTGGCTGCTGCGCCCCCGGGGACCAGGACCCCCACCGCCCGTGGACTCTGACGGGCTCAGCTCCACCCAGAGACTCCTGGAGCCGGCTCTCCTCGTCCACGGCCACCAGCCCAGGGGATTCTGGGGACACGGGGTCCTAGCCGCTCCGTCCCCAGCCTCCACGTGGGCCAGGATGGCTGGGGGCCTGCGCAGGGCACTTGCTGGGCACCGGGGCCTCTGCTCTTCCCACGGCCACCTCGGCTCTGGCGGCCTCTCCCGGGGCTGCCCTGGTCCACTGTGGTGCCCACGACCGTGGGGGAGGTGTTGCCGCTGCACGTCCCCCCGTGGGCCTCGGACACCAGGGCTGCACGTCTCAGCCACCTCTGCCTCCAGCAGACCCCGTGACTCCCGGGAGCTCTGGCTGCCTCTGGGGACCTGGCCTCACGGGCACATCCGAGGCCCCGGGGCTGGACTCCCTTCACTCCCGCGCTCATCCGGCAACGTCAGCTGAGCCCCACGCAGGATGGCGCTGCACCCGGGGCCCCAGGCCACACCGCACACGGGGATGCAGACACTTGTCGTTTACTAAGGCGCTCACGCCAAATCCATGGTGCTCCTTGTCCGGGACCCGGGGGGCCTCCAGGGAGAGCCTCAGCCCAGGACCAGCCCTACCCCAAATACAGCCGCCCCCCACCACTGGGGCCCGAGGGAAGGCACAGTGCCGGGGAGGGTTCTGGGGTCCTGGCAGCCATGGGGTCAGCGATGCACCCCCCGACTCTCCTCCTCCACGAGGGTCCCCAGAGAAGCCAGGGGGAGGGGGTCCCGAGGAGGAAGCCCCTGAGCCGGCCAGACTCGGAGGGCCCTGGCCTGACCCCGAGCAGAACTGGGGCTCAGGGCGGGGCCGCCGGAGGAGGGGAGCCGACGTCTGGGGAGGGCTGGGCCATGGGTCCTCAGCGGCGGTGTCTGCAGGCCCTGGCCCCAGGGTCACCCGACGGCCAGGTGTGGCAGCCCGTACAGGACGGAGTTGAGGGTGACGGGGAGCCAAGCGGAGTCGCCGAGCTGCAGCCGGAGGTACGGAGGCTTGTCCCTGGAGGTCCACGCAGACTCATCTGAGGGAGAGTGGGACAGCGCTCGCGGCGGCCCGGCTCACGGGGGCACCCGGCGGACGAGGGGGCCCGACCGCCTGCGGACGCAGCCCTGAACGTGGACACTGCCGCCATCGGCTCCCGGGGACGCCGAGGGACACTGAGCCGGGGGGCCCACTCGCAGCATGAAGGGCCGGGCAGCCGGGCCCCCGCCAGCTCCGACCTCCTGCTGCCACGGCTGACTGTGGGGAGGCCTGCGTGACAATCACGGTTTTGTCCCTGCTTCCAGGGCACATCAGCACGGGACGGCAGCGAGCAGGCGGGCGCCGCGGCTTCCCCTTCCTCCGTCGGCAGAGCAACTCGTCAGCAGCGGCTGCACGGCCGGCTCTCCGGGGGCCTCCGCCCTCATGCACC